CAGGTCAAGAAGCCAGCCAAACTGGCCTAGGGATGCAAGTCCCACTTTGAGCATGAACGGCTGTGGGACTGTCCCTTGGGGACCCCGACTTGGTCAGACGTTGCTGCTGGAACCTCAGGTAAGGACTGCAGCCAGAACTGCCTTTTTATCAATTTTGCAAACAAGAACGAAAACAACCGCGATGTCAGATTATGAAAATATATTGAGACTACTATTCTGTAGTGAATCGTATTTCATCACATTGTAAAAACATACGCATACGCACAACGGGAACGGCAGCTTTTTCTGAGTGTGCTGCGTGAACACCATTAGTTGACACGGCAACAACTCTAATCCGTGAATGAACACACAACATTCTTCCCACTTCAATGAAACGGATTCTTTCAGTGCTTGGTAAACTAATGGTGTTCACGCAGCACACTCAGAAAAAGCTGCTGTGTGAAACGGTATTATATGCAATTCCCGTTGTGTGTATGCGTATGTTTTTACAATACGATTCACTACAGGACAGTAATCTAAATATATTTTCATAATGTAACGTCACGGTTGTTTTCGTTATTGTTTGCATCCTTCCCGTGATCTCTCTGTTGTCTCTACTATTTTTATCAATTTTGGCTGATTCACCAGCTACGCCCCCTCCTGGAACAGAGAGGCACTGCCACCGTCATCCACGCCTTGATGCCTTCTTCATCAGATGGCTGCCACCATCTCTGTGCGGGGCTGCCTGGATACTCCACCTGCCCAGAATCTGTCCAGGAGCAGACACCCCCACGGGAAGAGTTCCCCTGCTCTTTTGGCCCTGCCAGAAAAGCCCCCCTCACAAGAGGCCATCTCAGGCACACGGCGAGGCCTAGAGGCAGCCTTGGGGGGGGGGGGAAGCAGTTTCCACGGCGCTGGCGCTGGGTGTTCAACAGCAGTGGGGTCTCTTTGGCGGCTATCCCACCATGGAGGGATTCGCTCCCGCTAGAGGGTGAGCCTTCTTCTCTCGCTGATTTTCAGGGGAAGGTCATGCGAGGCGGTCAGAAGAGGAAATGAAATCTTTTGCATCCTCGCTATCTCAGACCGCTGCCGACAAATGAGATTTGTGAGATGTTTCAGAGCAGTGATTCCCAACTTTTTCGGAATGGTGTGACCCACTAAGTCCAAATGTACTTGGAGGAGGAGGAGATTGGATTTATACCCCACCCTTCACTCGGAGTCTCAGAGCGGCTCACAAACTCGTTTCCCTTCCCCTCCCCACAACAGACGCCCTGTGAGGCAGGTGGGGCTGAGAGAGCTCTGACAGAAACGGCTCTTTTTCAAGAACAGCTCTTGTCAGAACTATAGCTTGCCCAAGGTCATCCAGCAGGTGCAAGTGGAGGAGTGGGGAATCAAACCCGGTTCTCCCAGATCATTTAACCACTACACCAAACTTGACCCGGTGACTCATCCAGGGCTGGCCCCCAAGGGGTTTTGCCACCCCAGGCAAGCGATGACCGTGGCACCCATCGAGTTCCGCACCTCATTTTCCACAGTGGCCAACCGGATGTTTTTGGCCAACCATCGCACAATAAAAGTCTTCACACCTCGCTCAGATAAGAAGGAAGAACTGCAAGCTGAAAGTCCTCCTGACTCACCCCCACGTGTGACTCGTTTAAGGCAGCGACTGCAGCAAAACCTAGCAACCAGGGGAAGAGAGGCCAGGCTACAAGGGAGACGCTCAGCTAGCCCAGAGTTCCAACAGGAGCCTGGCCAAATGTGCAGCTGGCTAATTGGTAGCAGCACTGAACTCCACACTCTGGGCAGTCTTTGTGGAAGTGATGAGTCAGCTTTGTGCTGCTTGCATCCACTCCAGCTCGGCTCTTGCACCTAGACCTTGGGACCCCTTGGCTTTGGACTTGGCTCGGTGTTCCTGGCTCCTGACCCCGGATTGGCTTTGGACTACGCTTCTGGTTAGTGATTTTGGACTTGGCTCTGTGTTTCTGGCTCCTGACCCCAGCTTGGCTTTTTGGACTTTGCACTGTCTTCTTCGCTCCTGACCTTGGCCTGTTCTGGACTCCCTTTGACTGGCACCCCAGCCCGTGACACAAGGAGGGCTGACCCCTGACCCACTTGCAGAGGCTCTGCAGCCCACCTTTGGGTCCTGACCCACCGGTTGGGAAACACTGTTTTAGAAGATGTTTAATTAATTTTAGGGTTTTTTTAAAAAACCCCACTATTTTTTATTTTAGACATTATGAATTGAGCAGAGAACTCAGCTAAAGAGCTGTGTAATAACGATGACACATCCAGCAAATAAATAAAGTGCCCAAGACGGGAATGAGACGATTCCGCCGCACAGCCCCTGAGGGCCGGTCACTTGTGCTGTTTTACTCACAGTGTTTGGGGTGTCCGCTGCTTTCTTTGGGGCGCTGATGAGATCGCTCTTCTTGTTCGCTGCCGGCTTGTTGTCCAAGATGTTCTTCTTCACCACCTTGAGGTCCCTGTTCTTGCCCGGAATGTATCCGTGCTTCAAGGAGATGAGGATGGGGTCGGCGTTCTTGCCCTCGAACCAATCCTCCGCTTCCAGAGCGGCCTCCGGTCCCGCCGTATCCGGATAGAGATCATCTTGGAACAGGTCGGACTGAAGGGGGGGGGGGAGAAGAAGGAGATTATAAGAACCCAGCCGATAAAACTCACGTTCCACGGAAAGCACGGGACTACGTCCACGGGTCTGGAGATGCGGCGGCACTCACCTTCCGAGGGACGGTCATGATGATGGGCTCGCATTTTCGCTCGTGGAGCTTGAAGAATCTTCAAAAGAAGAGAAAAAAAACAGGAACTCAGCTTGCTCAAGTTGTAACCTTTCCCACTGAAACGCTTTCTACTTCTTGCCAAGGCCCGCAGGGAGAGGCTAAAGCCTCAAGAAAGGGAAAGGAAACCATGCCTTCCATTGTACTATTGCTCCACACAAGGGTGTGTGCGTGTGGTTTTTTAAAGGACCATTGAGGCACTAGGAATGTTAGCTCAGACGGCTAAGAACCAAGCCACCCGTATGCAGGAGATCCCTCTTCAGATGTCACGATGTGCAATTCAAGGTCAGTATGCAGCAGGAGGGGAGAGCACCGAGATTACGGGAAAAGGGCTTACCACCAATGTTCCCTCTCAGCTGTGGAGTCTTGTGAGCAAAAATTCTACTTCGTGAGCCGCTGGCATTAAAGTTGTGAGCGAGCCATTGGGCTCCTGCAGAAATTAGTTACTCTGGAGCAATGCTCCCTCTAAGCTGTGGAGTCTTGTGAGCAAAAATTCTACTTCGTGAGCTGCTGGCATTAAAGCTGTGAGTGAGCGAGTTGGCTCCAGCATACATTACTTTGCTCAGGAGCCATCCCTTCCTGAGCTTAGACAAAAATGTGAGCCGGAGGCTAAAAAACAGTGAGCTAGCTCACACTCACTCAGCTTAGAGGGAACGCTGGTTACCACCACCCCCCCTCAAGAAAGACTCTGCAAATGTTACAGCATGGCCCCAGATTCAATTTCCCACATTATTCTGGACCGCCAGACGCACACATCCTTTCACGTATGAAAGTTTTACCCCTTTGGCCACGCCGATTTTCTAATAAACTTAGAACTGTTCAACATTTCCCTTAAGGATGCTAATACAGAGATCACAATTATGACTGCAAAATTCTTAGCAGAAGCGGCTGCACTTAGACGCATATTATTATTTTTTTATATAATATGTACACTTTTTGTTGTCCAAATTTATCTGCTGGAACTAAACGTCTCGTTTCTATATTATTATGCCATTAAAGGTGTCTGGATCTGAAAGAGGTTACCATCTCCTAAATGGTACCTTTTCCCTCCCCAAGAGAAACTGTGCCTCTCCTTTCCACAAGTCGCTATTACACCCAAGAAGGGGTGAAAAAGACAGGTATAAAAAAGGAATGGGGGGTGGTGGAATTAAATCCCACTTCAGGGGCTTTTCCCAGGTTAAAGGATAAGTAGGCAGATCTATATGTGAGTCCAAGAGCACCCTCAGAGATCAAGAAGATTTTCAGGCAATGAGCTTTCAAGAGCCAATGCTTCCTTCATCAGATACGAGTTGGGAGTGGAAATCTCTGAGTCCTTATATCCCAGTCAGAAGGTGGGAGGGATGCAGGATGCAAAGAAGGGACGCAGGATGCAAATGCATACTGTAATCTGCTTGACTAGAGAAGGGGAAATGCTGGGGGCCCCCCCAGGAAATTACCATCTGTAGAGAGATAAGAATCCTATGTCTCTCTTCAGTGCTGGGGGTGTGTGTGTGTGCATTGTTACAAAGGGAGTTTTGACTCTCAAAAGCGTATTATCACGAAACTCTTGCTGGCCTCTAAGATGCTGCTGGACAAACCAACATAGCTACCCTTTGAAACCATGTTCTGAACTTATGAATGAATTCTGACTCAGAAATCTCCCATTGTAATCTCCCCTTGAAGCTTCTCCGTTTGAGGACTGCCACTCTTAGGTCAGCAATGGAATGAAATGGAGGGTTAAAATGTTCCCCCACTGTTTCTTGGGTGTAGATCTCGTCAGACCTCCAATATCCCCACCATGCAAACTTGCCTTATTTGACCCTAGAGATACAGGGCTTATTCATGCAGTCTATGTAAAGTCTACTTTGACTGCTATTGTCCCTATTACATGGGTGTGTGTGTGTTTAGTTATTGTTTCGAGAGTCTTACAAACATACTTTCTTGCAAAACAAAAGTGGTCCAACACACCCCTCAACGCAGAACATCCTGTGCTGATTTTATAATTAGTTCCTCCTTTACATACAGTGCTCTCCCAAAAGGTGTCGAGCACAGCAAATGAGCTATTGGCTTGGGAGAGGAAGACAGGATCACAGAGGTTTCAAGGGAGGGGAAAGGATGTGTCTGAGAGGAGGTGAGAAAGCACCACTATTAGATGCAATTCCAGAAGAAGGGGACACTTGGAGAAGCTGACACGCAAACAGAGAAGACCTCGTTTGGAGTAGTGCGTACAGTTCTGATCACCACACCTCAAAAAGGATATTATAGCATTGGAAAAAGTGCAGAAAAGGGCAACTAGAATGATAAAAGGGTTGCAAAACTTTCCCTATGAAGAAAGGTCAAAGCGTTTGGGGCTATTTAGAGAAAAAGAAGAGAGAAGAAGAGATTGGATTTATACCCCGCCCTTCACTACCCAAAGGTGTCTCAGAGCGGCTTACAAACTCCTTTCCCTCCCCCTCCCCACAACAGACACCCTGTGAGGTGGGTGGGGCTCAGAGAGCTCTGGCAGGAACTGCTCTTTTTCAAGAACAGCTGTGCCAGAGCTTGTAACGGACCCAAGGTCACAGCAGCAGGTGCATATAGAGGAGTGGGGAATCAAACCCGGTTCTCCCAGATTAGAGTCCGCGCACTTAACCACTACACCAAACTGCCACAGGAGGTGATGGTGGCTACAAGCATGGATGGCTTCAAGTGGGAACTGGATAAACACATGGAGCAGAGGTCCATCAGTGGCTATTAGCCACAAGGTGTAGATAGGAACTCTCAGGCTGGGGCAAGGGATGCTCTGTATTCTTGGTGCTTGGGGGTGGGGGCAACAGTGGGAGGGCTCCTAGTGTCCTGGCCCCACTGCTGGACCTCCTGATGGCCCCTGGTATTTCTGGCCACTGTGTGACACAGAGTGTTGGACTGGATGGGCCACTGGCCTGATCCAACATTGGCTTCTCTTAGGTCCTTATGTTCTTAATCACAGATGGGATGTGGCGTGGTGCGGCGTGGCAAAATGTAATATTCCAGAAGGTTTGGAAAAAAGAACAAGCGCCCTCAGTTCGTAAGCCGCAATCGAACTATTCTTCTGTGCTTCCAAAAAAAAAAAAAACCCTCGCGTGTTACGCCCAGTATGCCGTGTCCCCAAACCTTTATTATCCTTACAGGTTGCTAAGAGGGGGGGAAGCCCCGGGCCACAGGAAGGCGCACTGGCCCTGCCTTGTGCCCAACTCGGAAGGTGGCAGGCTGTCAAGCTGCAGAGCGGGGGGGGGGAGCATCCGTGGGCGGTGTGGGCGGCCACCCCGGGCTCCTCTCGTTACCTGGCAATCTCACACTTGTTGACGTCCAGGCCCCTCTTAGGCATGAAACCCATCCCTCGCTGGGGCTCTTTACTGCTGAACGTGTTGAGGTAGTGCACATAGGGAGACTCGTCCGTGATCTCAAAGTAGCGGATGCTGCTGTCGCCCTGGAGGGGAAAAGGCAGACAAAACGATGAGGCCGGGGGGGGGGGCTTCCCTGAGACAGAGCACCCTGAATCTGACAGGGTGCACTAGGAAGAGGAGGAGATTGGACTCATACCCCGCCCTTCACTACCCAAAGGTGTCTCAGAGCAGCTTCCAAACTCCTTTCCCTTCCCCTCCCCACAGCAGACACCCTGCGAGGTAGGTGGGGCTGAGAGAGCTCTTTCGAGGACTGCCCTTGAGAGAACAGCTGAGAGAAGGAGAGGAGATTGGATTCATACCCCGCCCTTCACTACCCAAAGGTGTCTCAGAGCGGCTTACAAACTCCTTTCCCTCCCCCTCCCCACAACAGACACCCTGTGAGGTGGGTGGGGCTCAGAGAGCTCTGGCAGGAACTGCTCTTTTTCAAGAACAGCTGTGCCAGAGCTTGTAACGGACCCAAGGTCACAGCAGCAGGTGCATATAGAGGAGTGGGGAATCAAACCCCCTCCAGCCCCCAGAATATACCCTATGTTTTCGCCAATGACTTCAATGGCCCATAGGATATAATGGGGCTGAAATTGACATTCGGCTGGCCAAAAGACTCCGGCATCCACTCCTGCTGCCGAAATTGACATGTGGGAGTCTTTCTGCTGGCTGAAAATGATTCTGCCCGATTTGGCCGAATCCGAATCGGCCCGTCTTTTGGGTTTTTTTGGCACACCCCTACCCTGGATGCTTTAAGAACAGCAAGCTACAGTGATTTTATAACCAATACCAGAGGGACAGCACAATGTGCTGTCAAGTAGAGTTGTCAAGGCAAGAGATGGACAGAGGTGGTTTGCCCTTGCCTGCTTCTGCGTTGTGAACCTGGACTTCCTTAGTGGTCTCCCATCCCAAATACCAGCCATGGCCAACCCTGCTTAGCTTCTGAGATCTGATGAGACCAGGCTCTGGCCCGGGCGACCCAAGTCAGGTCAAATTGAGGATCTTGCAAATAAACAGTTTTGGGACTCTGCTGATGAAGCACAGAGTTTGTTCTCTTCCTTCTTGGATGGTTATCATCTCTTTTTCTGGTCTATTTATAGTGTACAACTTGTAATGTAAAACTCTCATGGTCTCTTTTTAGATCTCCAAGGGGGAAATTTGACTGGGGAAAACTCCCCCCTCCCAAACTCAAGAGGTAGAAGAAGAAGAAGAAGAAGAAGAAGAAGAAGAAGAAGAAGAAGAAGAAGAAGAAGAAGAAGAAGAAGAAGAAGAAGAAGAAGAAGAAGAAGAAGAAGAAGAAGAGGAGGAGATTGGATTTATGCCCCGCCCTTCACTTGGAGTCTCAGAGCGGCTTACAAACTCCTTTCCCTTCCCCTCCCACAAGAGACACCCTGTGAGGTGGGTGGGGCTGAGAGAACTCTGACACAAACTGCTCTTTTTCAAGGACAGCTGTGCCAGAGCTTGTGACTGACCCAAGGTCACATCAGCAGGTGCAAGTGAAAGAGTGGGGAATCAAACCCGGTTCTCCCAGATAAGAGTCTGCACACTTAACCACTACACCAAACTGGCTTGGCTTTTAAAAAAATAATAAAAGCAGGACCTGCTAGGTCACTATACTGTCATAATGTTCCACCACACCAAGAGACTAGTTCCCCGCTTCCATTTTTTAAAAAGATCTAGTCCCTTTTTGTGCTGCAGTTGTGAGGGGTAAACTCCAGAGCACCACTTACAAGCTCCAGAACGAAGAGAGAAACTTGCTTTTTTTTTTTGTTGTTCCTTCAGTGGAAGAAATGGGGGGCAGCAGGAGGCTGATGCAAAGAAGTGTGGGGGGAACCACTTTGTGGATGTTCCGCTGCCACAGTGAACGCCTCCACAGCGACCCAGAGAATCACTGTCACGCGGAAGCAGCCTTTGCAGGCCGCCTGGCCCCGATCCCCTTCTCCCAAGTAACCACTGCAAACAGCACCGCAGCCACCGCCTACCTTTCCACATAAGTAAATGATGCTGGTGTCTGGGTCATAAAAAGGCAGCAGCACCCCATTGCTGGTGTCCATTTCGTGGAGGGCGATGGGCTCATCCATACTCTTCTGAAAAGAAAAGGAGAGAATCTTAGTTTTTAGCAAATATACAGCCTGACTTAAGCTATCTAAAATCCCCTCCTGCTTCAGCAAGACAAAAGAAAAAATTATTCTCTTGAACTGATGTTGACCTTCTCAAGCAACACCGCCGAAAGCTTTACAGGCAGACCCCAAAATTCTTCAAAAAGTTAAGAAGAAGAAAAGAGATTGGATTCATACCCCGCCCAGTGGATATAAATACCCAGTGGATATAAATTGGTCGGGACATTTTAGTGCTGGATTTTAATTAACATCTTTTAAAACCAACAATAAAACTTTCTTCAAATACATTAGAAACAGGAAACCAGCCAGGGAGGCAGTGGGGCCCTTGGACGACCAAGGGGTAAAAGGAGTATTGAAGGATGATAGGGAAATGGCTGAGAAGCTAAATGCATTTTTTGCCTCCGTCTTCACTGTGGAAGATGAGAAGTGCTTGCCCACTCCAGAACCACTGATTTCAGGAGGGGTGTTGGAAGACCTGAGTCAGATTGAGGTGATGAGAGAGGAGGTCCTAAAACTGATAGACAACTTAAAAACTGAAAAATCACCAGGCCCAGATGGCATACATCCGAGAGTTCTGAAAGAACTCAAATGTGAACTTGTAGATCTCCTGACAAAGATATGTAATCTTTCCTTAAAATCTGCCTCCATTCCTGAGGATTGGAAGGTAGCTAATGTCACTCCCATCTTTAAAAAGGGTTCCAGAGGAGATCCGGGAAATTACAGGCCAGTCAGTCTGACGTCGATACCGGGTAAATTGGTGGAAACCATTATTAAGGAAAGAATTAGTAGGCACATAGATGAACAAAACCTATTGAGGCAGACTCAGCACGGTTTCTGTAAGGGAAGATCTTGTCTCACTAACCTGTTAGTGTTCTTTGAGGGGGTGAACAAACATGTGGACAAGGGGGATCCAATAGATATTATTTACCTTGACTTCCAGAAAGCTTTTGATAAAGTTCCTCATCAAAGGCTCCTAAGTAAGCTCAAAAATCATGGGATAGAAGGACAAGTCCTTTTATGGATCAAAAACTGGCTAGTTCATAGAAAACAGAGAGTGAGTGTAGGTGGGCAATTTTCTCAGTGGAGGGTGGTAAGCAGTGGGGTACCGCAGGGATCAGTACTTGGTCCACTGCTTTTTAACTTGTTCATTAATGATTTGGAGATGGGAGTAAGCAGTGAAGTGGCTAAATTTGCGGATGATACAAAGTTGTTCAGGGTGGTGAAAACCAGTGAGGATTGTGAGGCACTCCAAGGGGATCTGTCAAGGATGGGCGAGTGGGCGTCAACATGGCAAATGGGGTTCAATGTGGCCAAGTGCAAGGTGATGCACATTGGAGCCAAAAATCCTAAATATAAATACACATTGATGGGGTCTGAACTGGCAGAGACTGAGCAAGAGAGAGATCTTGGAGTTGTAGTGGATAACTCACTGAAAATGTCGAGACAGTGTGTGACTGCAATAAAGAAGGCCAATGCTATGCTGGGGATTATTAGGAAGGGTATTGAAAACAGATCAGCCAATATCATAATGCCCCTATATAAATCAATGGTGAGACCTCATTTGGAATACTGTGTGCAGTTCTGGTCACCACACCTTAAAAAGGATATTATAGCTTTGGAAAAAGTGCAGAAAAGGGCAACTCGAATGATAAAAGGGTTGGAACACTTTCCCTATGAGGAAAGGTTAAAGCGCTTAGGGCTCTTTAGCTTGGAGAAAAGACGACTGAGGGGTGACATGATCGAGGTTTATAAGATTATGCATGGGAAAGAGCAGGTAGAGAAAGAGGTACTTTTCTCCCTTTCTCACAATACAAGAACTCGTGGGCACTCCATGAAACTGCAGAGCGGTCGGGTTAGAACGGATAAAAGGACGTCCTTCTTCACCCAAAGAGTGATTAACACTTGGAATTCACTGCCACAGGAAGTGGTGGGTGCTACAAGCATGGATGGCTTCAAAAGGGAATTAGATAAGCATATGGAGCAGAGGTCCATCAGTGGCTATTAGCCACAAGGTATAGCTAGGGGCTCTGGGGCAAGTGATGCTCTGTCTTCTTGGTGCTTGGGGGGGGGGGGTCAACAGGGGGGGGGCTTCTAATGTCCTGGCCCCACTGCTGGACCTCCTGATGGCACTGGTATTTCTGGCCACTGTGTGACACAGAGTGTTGGACTGGATGGGCCTTTGGCCTGATCCAACATTGGCGTCTCTTATGTTCTTATGTTCTTAAATGTTTTTGGTTTTATTGTTTTTTATCTTGCAAGCCACCTAAGGCAGATTTCTGAAGAGGCAGCGAAAACAGGGAAACCTTCTAAAATGCATAGGGGTCAGGTTAAAAGGTAAAACTGAATCTATTGTGTAAAACGATAAAAAAATAAAAATAAAATAAAATGCATAGGGGTGGGAGAATTCATTTCCTAAGGAAATGTCTTTGGGAACATCAGCCATGGACAACCACACACACGCACACCCCAGAGGGACATCAGTGCAGGCAGGTTTGTTCACTAGTAGAATATGTGTGCGCGCACCCCCCACACACACACACGCACGCAACAGTGAAACAAGGTCTTACCGGGTTCCAGAGTGCAAGCTGCCTTTCGCTCATGCGGCTAAACCCGGTGGTGAAGACATTCCCATCAGAGAGGAAGATAGCTCTCATGGGCCGTGCTCCTTCATGTGCCTTCTCTTTCTCCTGGGGGGTGGGGGGAGGAAAAAGTTGTACATGAATTGCTAAAATTCAGCAAGAAAACTGATAATCGTAAACATTATATGCCTTTCTCCCAGCTTGGTGTAGTGTAGAGCCAGTTTGGTGTAGTGGTTAAGTGCGCGGACTCTAATCTGTGAGAACCGGGTTTGATTCCCTACTCCTCCACTTGCACCTGCTGGTGTGACTTTGGGCAAGCCATAGTGTCTGTTGTGGGGAGGGGAAGTGAAAGGAGTTTGTAAGCCACCCTGAGACTCCTTCGGGTAGTGAAGGGCGGGGGATACCGTAAATCCAATCTCTTCTTCTTCTTCTTTCCCAGTGAGGGGCGCAAAATAAGTTACATTTGTCATTTTAAGACTGCCCCATCTCATTCCTTCTGGGGTCTAGCATGAATTCGATACTCCACTGATCTAATCTAATCCCCACATCCGGATCACAAACACACATGGTCACACATGTAGCTGCCTTCTAGGGCCGGGCAGAACCAGCTCACGAACGCCAGTTCATGATGAACTTTGGCAGGGTCACGGTTCATGAACTGAAATTCACAAATTGAAGACACACCATGAATTTCCATGCATTTTAAGGCAGTTTGTGGTGGTTTGTGAAGAGCAGAAAGCAGGGGTTTAATTGACTCTGAGCCATTTAAACCCCTGCTTTCCACACACAAAAAAAGCCGAGTGGCGGGGAGCATAAGGCAGGAGTCACGAACAGCTACGAACCACTTTGGTTCGCGAACTAACCTCCTGGTTCGTATCTGTTTGTGGTTTGGCCATGAACCACGAATAGAAACAAACCGCAAAAATGAGGTCCGTGCCCATGCCTACTGCCTTCTGCTGAGTCAGACCCTTGCTCCATCAAGGTCTCTACTGCCCACTCAGACTGGCAGTGGCTCTCCAGGGTCTCAGGTCTTTCCCATCACCTCCTGCCTGGTCCTTAACTGGAGATGCTCTTGGGGATGGAACCTGGGACCTTCTGCATGCCAAGCAAGAGGCTCTTTCACTGAGCCACAGGCCCTCCCCACAGAAGAAATCACAGTGGATATGAAGCATATAGCTTGACTTTCTGGTGTGCAACATACTTAGCTTTAAGGAAAATCCGACTCTCCTGGGCAAAAACTTCCTCAGAATACCACATAAGGACATAAGAGAAGCCAGTGTTGGATCAGGCCACTGGCCCATCCAGTCCAACACTCTGTGTCTCACAGTGGCCAAAAATACCAGAGGCCATCAGGAGGTCCAGCTGTGGGGCCGGGACATTAGAAGGCCTCCCACAGTTGCCCCCCCCCAAAGTACCAAGAATACAGTGCATCACCTGTCCCAGCCTGTGAGTTCCTATCTATACCTTGTGGCTAAGAGCCACTGATGGACCTCTGCTCCATATATTTATCCAGTTCCCTCTTGAAGCCATCCATGCTTGTAACCACCACCACCACCTCCTGTGGCAGGGAATTCCATGTGTTAATCACTCCTTGGGTGAAGAAGTGCTTCCTTTTATCTGTTCTAACCTGACCGCTCAGCAATTTCATGGAGTGCCTATGAGTTCTTGTCTTGTGAAAAAGGGAGAAAAGTACCTCTTTCTCAACCTGTTCTATCCCATGTATAATCTTATAAACCTCAATCATGTCCCCCCTCAGCCGTCGTTTCTCCAAGCTAAGGAGCCCCGAGCGCTTTAACCACCTGCACGTTTGTGGTACGACATCTACTCACAGCGACAATTTCTTGTTTCCGGGGATCAATCACTCGGACTTTCTTGTCTTTGGAAGCCGTGCAGATGAGGCTGCCGTTCCGGTTCCAACTCACGTTATAAATCATGTCCTGGTGCATGTCATCCAGGTTGATCAGAGGCTCACCGGTCCCCACGTTCCAGATGATTACGGCATTGTCACAACCTGAACAAGGAGAAAAGTCAGCACGTGTGAGTGATTTACCGAGTGAATCACACTCCCTCATGTCGGTCTTCTCTAAAGAGACAAGGGAATAAGAACCTGTCTCCCCTCCAGGATATCCGAACAACCTCTTCAGTAGTGCCAACCCACAGGAAAAGGAAGCAGGGCATTCAAGTGCTTTAAGTCTTTATCCAGTGGATACACAACCCAGACAGAGGAGAATCAGGCGATCAGACCGGGGGTCTACCTGGTCCAGCCTCTTCAGCTGAACACCAGCCAGCTGTAGTCCCCCACCCCCTCCACTACAGCGCTCAGAAACTGACAACTCTGAAAGTTGAGGTACGACAATGCCAAGACCACAGCCATACAGCCCGGAAAATCTACAACTAATCTGAAAGTAAAGTTAGGACGTGACTGCCCCAAGGTGAGTTCCACGGCTGGGCTGAACCCTCGTCTCCCACTACTGCAGTGCCACTCTCACTGTGTCACACCGGGTAACTCCGGGAAGCAGTGTTCCCTCTAAGCTGAGTTAGTGTGAGCCAGCTCACAGCTTTTTAGCCTCCGGCTCACACATTTTTGCCTTTGCTCAGGAAGGAGGGCTCCAGAGCAAACTAAATGATGCAGTAGCCAAAGTGCTCACTCACAACTTTAATGCACAAAGTAGAATTTTTGCTCACAAGACTCCACAGCTTAGAGGGAACATTGCCGGGAAGCATGCGACCAAGCCAAGGCGGCAGCAGGCTTTTCCTCTCACTTTAAATCGGCTTTAAAAGGGGATTTGATATAGATTCATGGCGGATAAGTCGATTAGTGGCTCCTAGCCAAAGCAACTGAGGGGAACCTCCACATTCAGAGGCCGTCAACCTTTGAATCCCAGTGCCTGGAAGCAACACCAGGGGAAGGCCTCAGCTTCTATACTCTGTTGTTGGCCCTCCCTCCAGAGCGACTGGTTGGTCACTGTGTGAAACAGGATGCTGGACTAGATGGACTATTGGTCTGATCCAGCAGGGCTCTCCTGATGTTCTTACGTTCCATTGCCACCAGCATCTCACACAGCAGACTGGGGGCACCTAATGAAGTTGTTGGGAAAGGCATTCAGGAGAGATAAAAACACTTATTTACTCAACAAGCCATTAAATTGTGGATGGAATTGCCAGTTGATGTCGTGATAGCCATGAGCACAGACGGCTTTAAAGGGGGGGTTAGACAGAGTTGTGGCTATGTGCCATGGTGATTAAAGGGAACCCCTATTTTCAGAGGGAGTAACCCACTCTCCTAAAAGGGTATTTGCTTAGCCCCTGATTCTCGCAAAGCTGAAATCTCTCCCCAGAAGAACCAGCAATGCAAACTTTCCTTTGAGCACAAAGCAAGACTAGAGGCTCTCAGGCAACACCCCGGTTCGCCCTCCCAGGCCCGGAAAGTGTAACAGAAGACACTGCAAGAGAATCACCTGCTTTTGGGGGGGGCGGGTTGTTGTTGCTACTCTTCCAGGTCATGCTGGTTTCCAAGTACACGGGAGAGAGGAAGTTTACAGCACAGCAGAGAACAAAACAACTTCTCGAAGCCAGTGTGGTGGTGTTGTGAAGGGAAAAACTACAAGTAGGTTTGGTGCTAAAAGAACGAGTGCGCCTCACCCATGACCTCATTAGGTGATCTGAGGCAAGCCGTTCTCTCTGCCGGAACTTCCCCTTCCAGCCACATACAGAGAGGCAGTAATACTGATCCGTGTTACAAGTTGGTTTTAAGGGAGGTGGCTGTTCCGCTCCGTTCTGCTACGGTCAGGCCTCCCCTGGAGTCCTGTGTCCAGTTTTGGTCACCACATTTGAGGAAGGATGTTGACAACCTCGAGCGTGTCCAGAAGAGGGCAACCGGGATGGTGGGAGGGTTGGAATCCAAGTCTTACGAGGAGAGGCTGAAAGAGTTGGGTCTGTTTAGCCTAGGAAAGAGAAGGCCTAGAGGGGACACGATTGCAGTCTTCAAGTATTCGAAGGGATGTCATGTAGAAGATGGAGCAGATCTATTCTCTCTTGCTCCGGATTGCAAGACTAAATCTAATGGGTGGGAATGACAAGGGAGTTGTTACCGGCTAAATACCAGGAGAAACTTCCCAACTGTCAGAGTGGTTGAGCAGTGGGACAGTCTGCCTCGGGAGTTGGTGGGTGCTCCTTCACTGGAGGTTTTCAAGCGGAGGCTGCGCGACCATCTTTCAGATATGTTGTAGGGCTCTCTTTCGGCTATGCTCCTGCAGAGTGCAGGGGGGTTGGACTAGATGACCTGCAAGGTCCCTTCCAACTCTAACATTCTATGATTCTATATAATTACAGAGATTGCACGTGTGGAATACTATGACGGCTCCAAAGTGCTGTATAAACATTTATTGATGATATCACAAGATTTACACCTGAATATCCACAGATATGGAAAGCGCTCCCATTACACTGTGCCCAAGCCACCGGTTCCATGGCAAGGGAGCCAAAGCAAGATCTGTTCCCCACTCAGGGGCCCGTGGCCTACCTGCACTGAGGAGGACGTTGCGCGCCGTAGGGTGCCAGGCTACGATGCCCACTCTTTTGGAATGACCTTCTAAGACGACCACGGGGTCCGTCAGCGAGAGCGTGAGTCCGTTCTCTGGGATCTGCCACACCTGCGGACGGGAAGGGAAGAGAATTTACTCTGTGGAAGACTGTCAGTTTCAAAAAGGCAGGTGCACGCGGCTCTCCCACCTCCACTTTAGTCTCACAACCTGACCACAGCTTGGATGAGGGGCCCCCCCACCTTTCTGAGCCTGTGGGCACGTTCGGGATTCTGACACAAGGCGGTGGGTGCAGCCACAAAACAGCTGTCACGGGGGGGGGGAGCAGCCCCGTAGCTAGGGAATTTTTTGGGAGGGGGCCTGCCAGCTAATTAAATTAAAGTACAGTGCAGGGGGTAAGTTAGAGTACTTTGGGGGCAGCCCAAAGGAGGGGGCCCCAGAAGAAACACTAGGGGGCCAGGCCCCGTGGGCCCCATGTTAGCTACGGGCCACGGGAGGAGCCAACCACACAGAAGAAGCCCAAACTCAGGGGAGAAGAGGAGTAATTTTTTTTAAATTTATTTTTTATTAGTTCTCCAACAGTTACAACAAAATTCAACATTTGGAAGAGTGAAAGCAATGAGATCAAAACTGTGATTAAGCAAAATGGCAAACGGCTCAAGTAGTACATCACACCAGTCTACCACTTAAACCCTCGAGACCTGGAAGGGTAACAGAGTTATCAGAAGAAGAGTCAATTTCTGAATACTGGGTTATTCGGGAGTGTCCCATTATTCTCTAAATAGTGTCCCATTATTCTCTAAATAGCTAATGATGGGGAACCACACTGCCTGGAGCCACTTCTGGTATTTTTCTGATCGCACAGCCAATGAGTTGTATGAGGCGTGCCCATGAATAAAGCATTCCCAGATTTTCTTTTGCCAGCATGTTATTGTACGGATATTACTTTGTTTCCATCTTTGAGCAATTGTTATTTTTGCCAACGTCAATAATGTAGATAAGGTAAAAGGTAAAGGTTCCCTTGCTCAAAAGCCAGGCGAGTCCAACTCTAGGGTTGCGGTGCTCATCTCTGTTTCAAAGCCAAAGAGCCAGCGCTGTCCGAAGACGTTTCCGTGGTCATGAGGCCGGCATGACTAAACGCCAAGGCGCACGGAATGCTGTTGCCTTCCCACCGAAGTGGTCCCTATTGATCTACTTGCAATTTCTTGCTTTCGAACTGCTAGGTTGGCAGGAGCTGGAACTAGAGATGGGAGCTCACTCCGTCATGCAGCACCCGGGTCTCGAACTGCTGAACTACCGACCTTCCACAGCCTGCAGTTTAGCGTCTTAACCACTTGAGCCACCGCAGCTCCAATGTAAATACTAAAGAGTAATTTAAAAAATCAACACCGAGAAAAAGGAGGAAGGCAGATCAAAACCAACACTACGGAGGCAGCTGCTGCTGAAACAGTGTTATTTTAATCTGCAAGCCAATCACAAGCCCTGCTGAGCAAGAGGCTCCGTTGACTCCACCCACTTTCTAAAAACACTTGGTGGGCGCCAGAGCCAAGATCTTTATTAGGATTGTTATTTATTTACAATGTTTTTTTCGATTACTTTAAAAACAAAAAACAAAAAGGCCTTCCAAATTGACAGCGGGTGTGTGTCCTCTAGTGGTTAGAGGATCAGACCGGGATCTGGGGTTTGAATCCCCACACTGCCACGGAAGCCCCCCAGCTGACCCTGGGCCCATCACCATCTCGCAGACTCACCTACCTCTCAAGGGGTCTCAATTAGGAAGAAAAGTGGGACAAACAGAAAAAGCATAATAAAATAATAAGCATATAAAGGTAAAGGTTTCGCTCAAAAGCCAGTCGAATCCGACTCTAGGGATGCAGTGCTCATCTCTGTTTCCAAGCCAAAGAGCCAGCACTGTCCAAAGACTTCTCCGTGGTCATAGTGGCCGGCATGACTAGACGCCGAGGTGCACAGAACGCTGTTACCTTCCCACCGAAGCGGTACCTATTTATCTTCTTGCAGTTTCTTGCTTTCGAACTGCTAGGTTGGCAGGAGCTGCGGGCAGAGATGGGAGCTCACTCTGTCACGCGACACTCGGGTCTCGAACTGCCGAACTACAGACCTTCTGGTCCGCAGCTCAGCGTCTTAACCTCTGAGCCACCGTGTTAGCTGTATACAATACAAACCGCCCCTAAATATTAAAATGGCAAGAGCTAAAACGAAAGCACCCAAAAAAATCCAGAAAGGTCAATCATAACGAACAGAAGATGAGCAAGAGAGTGACGGTACTTCTAAGAACAGACAGCTTAATGAAGAGGCGTCTCCTGGGAATCTACCTCTGACCCATGACTGGTCAACTGTGCCTCTTGGACCAAAGCTGGCCTACGTAAGGTTAGAAAAAGCTGAGGAAGCTCAATTATTCCCCAGCAGGTGGCAGCACAACCATCATCCGCTTCCGCTAACTAGCCTATCCGTCAGTCACAGCAGAATTTACCCACGACCTGGAAATGCAAGCCGGTGCAACCGGACCATCTAAGGTAATTAGAGGCAACGGATGTCAACATCCACCTCCGTTTTCTCACACCGACCTTGCAACGAAGTCGGAGCCACTGGCTTGGATCCTGCCTACAGGTGGCGGCTGGAGACCACTCAGAACTACAGCTGGTTGCCAGGTTACAGAGATCAATTCTGTTAAGTACTGGGTTCTGGACGCATTACAGTAAGACAGCTCTACTTTATTAAGTGATTTTGGGAACACTACAAGGCAAACTCCAGGACAGCTGCCCTGTTTTTAAGCATGCAATCACCACACCCCAAACACACCCCACTCCCAGCAATAGGTTATTTACATCACACTTTAGTTTATTTATGGAGCTGCGGTGGCTCAAGTGGTTAAGACGCTGAACTGCAGGCTGTGGAAGGTCAGTAGCTCAGCAGTTCGAGACCCGGGTGCCGCATGATGGAGTGAGCTCCCATCTCTAGTTCCAGCTCCTGCCAACCTAGCCGTTCGAAAGCAAGAAATTGCAAGTAGATAAATAGGTACCACTTCGGTGGGAAGGTAACAGCGTTCTGTGCGCCTTGGTGTTTAGTCATGCCGGCCACATGACCACGGAAACGTCTTCCGACAGCGCTGGCTCTTCGGCTTTGAAACGGAGATGAGCACCGCAACCCTAGAGTCGGATTCAACTGGCTTTCGAGCAAGGGAACCTTTACCTTTACCTTAGTTTATTTAAAGTTTAGCAGCCCATAGGCCATACACCGTTTATAAAAAAATTAGGAATTTAAAAGAACAGTAAAACAGAAAATTGCCACATCCACGATGCAATGTTGGCAGACGCTGCTAAGAAGTAGTCTTAATCTTGATGCATCAGGAAAAGATGGAATATTTCGACAGCCGTTTTCTTAAGAATCTTTCTCTTGCTGTTGCATGGTTTGGACAATAGAAGAAAACATGACACAGCAAGTCAAGTTCTATCAAAGGACAGTCACAATAGCGCTGGTCCAGAGGGGTCTTGAGAAAACGGTCCTTCATCTGGGCTGTCGGAAATGCATTGCAGCGTGCAATTATGTAGGACCGCCTCGACTTTGGAATGATCAACATGTTTAAGTAGAGAGGCAGGTCAAATTTAGTGGAATATTTAATTCCTAGATGAAGTGGGGAGCTTTATCACACTGTTTCTCTATTGGTCTACTCCAGGATCCTAGTAAGCAGGGGTCATTTCCTGCAGGAGCGCACAGGAGAGGAGCTCCGGCAGTAAAGAGCCCAGGGGGTGAGCACATGCAACAAGCCCCACCCCCTGCTCCCAGCAGCCCTCAGTCAGAGCAAGAAGCAGCCAGGTAAGTTGCAGAGCCCCCCTCCTGGCCCCCCGGTCCAAAACAGTCCAGTGGCACCTTTAAGACCAAGTTTTATTCAGGTACAAGCTCTCCCTCCTCTGCGAGGACAGATCTCCACGTTCCCCCCCCCCCAATAGCTAGCAATCCAAAACAGTCCAGTGGAGCCAGAGTGGTGGGTGTTGCCTTCTGACACACTTCCGGTGATGTCAGGGTGTGTGGCATATGCAAATAAGTTATGCTAATAAGCTCCTGCACCTCTTTTTCTACGAAATGACCCCCGCTAGTAAGCTATTGTTCAGGGGGAAAACAAGCGCAACCAGATCCAGGTACTAGTTCAGCGAGGACTCTGGCTCAATACACGACAAATTCCCCTAGAGAAAACAGCTGCTTTGAATGGTGGACTTTACGGCATTGTACCCCACTGAGGTTCCTCCTGAAACCCTGCCTTTCCCAGGCTCCGCCCCCAAAATCTCCAGGAATTTCCAAAGCCAGAGCTGGCAACCCTAGATTCCACGGATCCATCCTATGAATAGTGGTGCTTTCCTCCATCTGAGGAGCCTTCCCTGTCACGCCTGTTGCAACAGAGGATGCCTTGTGCTGGGAGGAGCCAGTGAGCCAGCATTACGGGAACAGATCTGCGGGATCCAATTTGAAGTATCTACGCTCAAAGCAAAGCAGGAAATTTGAGACCAGCACCCAGTTGGCTGCCAAAGCTCAAGGGGCTGCAGTGGTCCAGTAAAAAGACCAAGGACCCACTTCACAATAAGCAAGGCTGCAAAATAGTCACAGACTGCTCAACATTGGACGACGGTGTCTCCTTGAAATTGGAAATGTTTCTCCTTGCTCTGCTTGTAAGGGAACCTTAAAGTACTCAACACATGCTACTACTAGTCTAAGAGGCAGCATCAGATATCTATTTTACCCTGTGTTTTATTATTAATATATGATCAGCCATTCATGCCATTGCTTCTGTGCTTCCAAAGTGAAAATTCAAGCAAACGAAAAGGACATCAGCACAATGTGGCAAGGGACTGTTAGGAGAAATGCTGAACTGCCTAGTTCAGTGTCGAGTCGTTTGCACAGATGCTACCACTTCAAGGATCGACCAGAAAGGATTCCGGCAATCAGGACTGTTTTGTGCAATCCAGATGAGCTTTGAAATAGAGCCAGCTCGGACTTTGGTGGGCAGACGGCACTGTTTCTCACTAGGCAAGCACAGAAATGCCCTGGCTGTTTTCAACCAGCCAGCATTCCCTACTGAGGTATCTGGAGACCAACCC